AGAAGAGCTTCCTCTGGAAAAATACGTTAAAGACAACCTGATTGATGAGGCTTTTTGATGATCCCCTTGACCCTGAATCCAGATTTCCAAAATTTTTGTCCTATCCACGGACATCCTTAATAGGGATGCAAAAAAGAGAAAATCACTCCTATGATATCTCTCTAGTTTATCTTTTCTTCCTTAAGTTGCTTGAGCAGCCGTCTTTTTTTGTGTGTTGTCTACGTGGTGGCTCTGTTGAACATTTCCTTGGCATCTTTGCTTTGATAATTCAGAATTGGAGCAGCTGGGCTTTTACAGTTGCTGAATCCCATTAAAAAACAGGTGGCACTTTATCTTGTTAAAGAGGCCCTGTTACCGTGTCTGGGAGAAACAGCATAGAAATTCGAGTTGTGCTTCAATTTGGGGGACAGGTGTAATTCTGTGTTCATTCACCTGATGGGGTAGACTTCAAGGGGAATGTATCACTATTTGGACTAGCTTAGAACTTTTATCCTTATTAAATCATCACAAGACCAAGATGTGGTCCAGAATGTCTTCACCACTCTTCTCTTGGTAGCTTATGTCAATTATTTTTAATAGTTGGTTTGGAAAAAGCAGTGAAAAACATGAGGAGAATACACACAGGGCTCTCTTTTAAAAGGACATACAATAGATATTAGGTAGATATTGTTGCTGGGTTGAGCCTATTATATGATCAAAAATGCATCTCTCTCTTTAATAATTTTTTTATATTTCAATTACAATTGACATGCAATATATTAATTTCAGGTGTATACCCCAGTGATTAGACATTATATAACTTGCTAAGTGATCACCCCCATAAGTCTTATATCCATCTGACACCACACATAGTTATTAGAATATTATTGACTATATTCCCTATGCTGTACGTTACATCCCCATGACTCTTCTATAACAACCAATTTATATTTCTTAATTCTTTCACCTTTTTCGCCCAACTCCCCCCCATCTGGTAACCGTCAAAATATTCTGTTTCTATTCTGTGTGTTTATTTATTTTGTTTTTTTAGATTCAATTGTTGATAGATATGTATTTATTGCTATTTTATTGTTCATATTTGTTTATCTTTTTCTTCTTCTCCTTAAAGAAGACCCTTTAACATTTCATGTAATATGGTTTGGTGGAGATGAGCTCCTTTAGCTTTTCTTGTCTGAGAAGCTCTGGAGATAAGTCCTGGCATCTGTGGGGAGCCAGAACTGAACGTGACAGACTCATTTAAACAGCTGGAGTGTATGTGCAGAACTGTTGAAATTTTATCTCTGCTATAGAGGCGAAGCATTTAAAAAATGACAAGACATTCATCATTTATGACCCATTGCTCAATATTTGATGCATGAATACCATTCCTTTCTTTATGTAAGGATGACATAATCTCCCCAGTATCAACCCAACAAGAATTTTGAGTTGAGAATATCTTTTCTGGTCATGTTTGTAACCAGTGCAACAAATTTACATGGGATTTTAAAGTCAAGCCATATATATTTTTTATTTTTTTTAGTCATGTGCCATTTTATGCTATTTCAGAATACAGAGTAGGTATTCTTGCTTTATACACTGTAGGTGTTCAGTAAGGAATCCTGCTGGATCAAATAGGGTTTAAATGGATCACACTATGTCTACATTGAGATGCTGATAAATATATAAAATTTAGTACTAATATTTGGAGACCTATGAGTTTCAAAAGATCAGAATTGTATCATAAAAGATGTCAGACATTGTTGGGAATTTTTTATTTTGGATGAACAAGTTGTGTGCTATTTTAAATTATTTGTCCCATGTGGTTTCCCTTAAAAACAGTAGGTTCCTGTAGAATCCTTGCATGTTGTGCACCGGATGGTCAGAGGAGAGTTCGGGAGCTCATTAATCAAACTTCCCTTGATTTCTGCGTTAGCCATTTTAACAAAGGTTTATATTTAGAATGCAACGAAGAGCATTGAAACAAAACAATAATATTGAAAGTTGAAGGACTAGTTCTATGATAACAGCAAATTGATAATTTTATAACTTGTGAATTAATACAAAATATAAATTTTCTAAATATAATTCTTGTTTTCAAAAAGGCAAGAAAAATCCAAGGATTTTAAACCATTGTTTGAAAGATGCAATGATTCTATGTGTTCTTGGGGGAGAAAAAAAAAAAAGGCTAAAAAGGAAGCACATATACTGAGTATAGATAAACCAAGTAGCTGAATATTTACTTAGGTTAGTAAGAAAAAATTTGGACATTTGAGATTGAGTTTTTGTCTTACTATAAAAGGATGCATTTATATTCTGGATCATATTAACTATATTAGAATTCATGAGATCTCATGAGTGGATTAACCTGACTGACACTATATTGAATTCAATACATACTTGTTTTTCTTCTCCAACTCTAGATACAACAAGAGATGTTGTAGTAAAATTCTTATATCTTTGAAACACTGTCACATTAAAAATGAATGAAATATCATAGTTTTTTCCCCACTGAATTGCTGTTGGTTTTTATATTTCAGAGGGAAGGAAATGTATCTGATAAGGTCTGATATCCAAAATATATAAAGAACTGATACAAATCAATAACAAAAGAAACATACAATACAATTAAAAAATGGGTAGATGATCTGAATAGACACTTTTCTAAATAAAGCATGTAGATGGCCAAAAGATTCATAAAAACATTCTAACTATCACAAATCATCAGGTAAATATAAATAAAAATCACATTAAGATATCACCTCACATCTATTAGCATGGCTATTATTAAAAACACAAGAACTACCATATGATTCAGCTATTCCACTTCTGGATATTTATCCAAAGAAAATGAAAATATGAATTAAAAAAGATATATGCACCCCCATGTTGATTGCAGCATTATTTTAATAGCCAAAAAAATGGGAACAACCTACCTGTCCATCAATGAATGAATGAATAAAGAAGATGTGGTATATACATACAATGAAGTATTAAAAAGAATGAAATTCTGCCATTTGTAACAGCATGAATGGACCTTGAGGGTATTATGCTAAGTGAAATAAGTCAGAGAAAAACAAATGTGTGATTTCACTTGTATGTGGAACCAAAAAATCCAAAACGAAACAAAAAACACCAAAAACAAAAAAATAGAAACAAGAGAAAAAGAAGAACTCATAGATACAGAGAACAGATTGGTGGTTGACAGAGGCAGGGGGTGGGGGTAATGGATGAAGGAGGTAAAAAAGTACAAATATGCAATTATAAAATAAATAAGTCATGAAGATATAATGTACAGTATGGTGACTATAATTAATAATACTGTATCATATGTTTGAAAGTTGCTAAGAGAGATTTTTCATGAGAAAAAAATGTTTATGTATGCTGACAGATGTCAACTAGACTTACTATGGTGATCATATCTCAGTATATACAAATGTTGTATCATTACATTGTATGCCTGAAATGAATATAATGTAATATGTCATTTATATTTCGATAAAAATAAACTAAGTATAATTCACTTTATATATAGATCTGTGATACAATCTAACTGATAAAACTTAAAGGTTATATTTATGTTAAATATGGTCACCCAACTTTAAATATGGTCATACAATTTTAAATTTGATCATACAACTTTAGATTTTAAGTATAGTCTCTGAATAGACTGGAGATATTCTGTTGTTTTCTGGCTTCTATTGGCACTTTTGAAAAGTGACCACTCTGGCTGATCCTCATTAAGGGGTAGGTAAATGTACTGGAAGCTTTCAATCTGGTCATTGAAGAATGGGATATTTAAAATCAAGATTTCCAATGTAGTATCAATATTGGTAATGATAATTTCCAAACTATACCTTTGACAAAGATAGTTTGAGAGAAATGGATGAACAGATCCTCATTTTAATGTTCAGAAAGATATATGCTTACCCAAGTAGTGAATAAGATACGGTGTTGTAGAACCCTAAAATTTTGAAAGGTATTTTACCCTATACTTTGAGGAGACTTGGCTCACATACCATGTTCAGTATTATTTGCAGTCTTACATCCACTTCAGTATCAAATTCTGTTTTTAATCAGCTTTATTGGTAAATAATCATAGATAATTAACTGGTAATTGACCTAATATTTTATTGCACATTAAGCTTTTGTGTATGAGTGTAACAAAGACATTCATTGCCCAACAGCAATGGAAACAAATTCTGCCCTGAAATATGAGTTGGGAATGTGGTGGGAGTGCCATCCTCACACACAGATAGAATCAAATATTATCTGGCCCTACACATATTCTTTAAATGTTTAAAGCCCTTGATGGTGTGATCTTGTCTCTTTTCCCCTAATCGTTGCCCACCCACCCTAATATACAGTTTGTTCATAGTCTCCCTGTCTGGCTTCTTGATAATAAGCAGTTTCAGAAAAGTGTGTTGTTGACTCATTGGCACTAAAGTATGTGTGATATTTAAATTTTAATAGATGGTAAGCCAAGGAATAAACTTTTCTGACATTTAAGAAATAAATAATTTTTAGGAGTAGCGTCATTTAAAACCTCTGAAAAAAACTTATCACTTGTCACCTACTATATAAGTGGGTAAAGATGACGAAGAGTGATTGGAAGAAATGCAGAAATATATTTTTTCCAAGTGTGCATTATATATAAATACATATATTTTCATCTATATCTATAAATACATATGCTTTATGAAAATTTTTAGAAGAGCAAGGAATTAATAGGTGATAAATTGGGGAACCACAGTAGTCATATTTATGAATGAGCATTGGATGTGTTATTTTTTAATTTAATAAAGACTACATGTCCCAGAAGTTACTGAAAAAAATAAGATGTAAGAACAGAATTCTTAGAAATTCAAAACACTAATGGATTACAATTTTAAAAAAATAAAATATTTTGATTAAACAAACAAGTAGAAAATACCCTGACTAATGATTTTGTTAATTTATCATCATCTAATGTGCATATCTTTATAATTTAACAATCAAGCTTTTGTGTTTTTTTTTCACCTCAGTGTTGAAGAACCCGGTGTGTAAATTATATAGATTTCCCACATCTGACAATAAGTGGATGCGAATTCGGGAGCAGATGTCAGAAAGCATACTTTCTTTTCATATTCCTAAGGAATTGATCTCTCTTAACATAAAAGAAGATTTGTGTAGGTAAGAGAAAATAATAGATGATTGTCTCTTGCACTAATTATTTTTTTTCTTAAAGTAGGATGATAACATGAAATTCTAGACCTGCACTGTCCAATGCTGTGGTCATTAGCTTTGTGTGGCTATTAATCACTTAAAATGTAATTAGTCCGGTTTGAGATGTTATGTAAGTGTGAAATACCAGATTTTGAGTTCTTAGCACTCAGACTGCCACACAAACAAGACTGATTTCATAATTTGGATTAAGTTAAAATATTATTAATTTAACTTGCTGTATTTTATTTTTTGAGTATGACTACTAGAAAAATTTTAATAACATATGTGACTCTCTTTTGTGGTGTGCATTATATTTCTATTCAATAGCTTGAAGTCTAACCAATAACCTGAGTTTGGGCCTTGCTAATATTCCCTGTATCTTTACCTCACCTGGTTTTGGTTTCTGTTTCTGTAAGAAATTCCTATTTGACTCTTCTTTGGGTTACTGATCTGTAACAAGACTCTCAGATATTTGTTGGTCTACAGACTCTATGAGATGATTGATAAAGCATGCTATGTGAATGGGCAGTATTGTCATACAACAAAATTAAATTCATTGCTATAATAAAACAGAAGGATGTGAGAGCTGGTGGTTGATGAGAATTTCTCTGAGCCGTGACTACTCAATTTGTTTCTCTGCCTTATATACCTCTAGTGACTTTAAAAATGCTGAATACTATATTATACTAACGACTGTTAAGGCCCTAAATCTCAGAAAATTAGCAGATATTTTTAATAGTTAACATTTTTTAATTGCTTAAATACACAGCAGAGTGTGAAATGTTCAAAAATGTGGATTTCTGCCTTATGTGCACATTAGTACATCAAGTTATTTAAGAGCATTGTACCCCTTTGGTAGACCCTACAGTCTCCAGGGAGGTCATATTGACATAAACCAGTGAGCACACCATGGACAAGGCAGGTTAAACCTGGCGATATTGACGATATCATCATGAGCCTCATAATATTTCAGTAATGGACCACATACGCAACTGTGGTCCCATAAGATTATAATGGAGCTGAAAAATTCCTGTTGCCCACCTAGTGATGTCACAGCAATCAGAACGTTGTAGCAACACAAAGCATCACTCACATGTTTGTAGTGATGCAGGTGTAAACAAGGACATTGCACTGCCAGCCTTAGAAAAGTACAGCACACACAATCATATACAGTCCATAATACTTGATCATGATAACAGATGACTATGCCTTTGATTTATGTATTTACCATGCCATACTTTTTATTGTTATTTTAGCGTGTACTCTTTCTGCTTATTAAAAAAAAGTTTTCTATAAAGCAGTATGCCACGTTATGCCAGAAGCAACCTCATACATCTCTTCTTTACTGTGTCTCTTGACTGCATCATGCTCTCTTGTGCTTGATTTTATCTCGTGTTGTTTTGTGCAATAACATGCTGTACTGGCTTGTAGCTTTGGAGCAATGGGCTAGAAATTAGAGCCTAGGTGTGCAGCTGGATATGCCATCCAAGTTTCTGTAAATGCACTTCATGATGTTCGCATAATGACTAAATCACCTAATGGCACATTTCTCAAAATGCATCCATCACTAAGTGGTGCATGATTGTATTTGCTAGGGTAGGAATGACTGCACAAATGCTGTACATCCAAGTGAGGAGAAAAAAAAAGAAAACAGAACCTGGTTTTTAGGGAAAATCAGGCAGGAAACTGGGTTATAAGAAAACAACCTCGATCTAGGGAAATAAAGATTGAAAGAGTGACAAGACGGTGGATATTTGAGTGTAGCAAAGTGAGGCTGACCAACTACAGAAATCAGACAACAGTTACTGACTCAGGCGAAGAGAAGCTATAAGATGTACAGGAATCTAAGCACACAACTTATAGGAGCCAGCTGCAAGAATGAATTAATATAAGCCAAATGATTCAGTCCTGTCCCTACCTAGAGCTGGTACTAAGAGTGGGTGACGGGCAAAAGCAAATCCCAGGAAGGAAAAGCAAACTTATGTATTTGAGTAGAGAAGCATGGAGTTTGGATCACCAAGGCCATAAAAGAATTATCATCCTCAACAGTGGGTTGTATTCTAGACTCTCTGATACTAAGAGCTGACTAGCGTCATGTAAAGGTCACATTTCATACAGAAGGGATGGAGAAGATAATTGTTCCTCATAGGGGTTATAGAATAAGGAAGGATGCACAGTAGACAAGCTGAGCTGAGGTGTCTGCAGAACCCAACACCTTTATTTCACCTGAGAACCGCACAAGAGTTGTTGCCTGATAAAGCAGATATAAGAAGTTAAGGCTAAGTCTTACCCCATAAAATGGATTTGAAACTGCATCTAACTTAGCCCATCTTCAATTTCCACTAAGGTATCTATATAGACACAAAATGGAAAATGATGAGTTTTCACAAAACACTGGAATCCATTTTTAACATAATACTATAAATAACATAATTGATGGACCACTAATGCTATTTCATCTAAAAATACAGCAAGCTAATGAGAAAGAAAGTGAAGAGCAGGACCCCTACTGCTGTCCCAATCTGTCTTTTGTCATCAGTTTGGAAACCCCATAAAGGTTGAGTAGCTGACCTACTACTTTTGAGGCCTCCCCAGTGCTCTCTCCAACTCCTACCGGCACTCCCTCTCCCATTCATACCTCTCTGTCCGTCTAATCACTGACAGTAAATCACAGGGGGAAACAATGAGTAGGAAATAAGGAGAGTGGTCACTAAGCCATTGAATTTTAGTAGGCATGGCCTCTATAATTATTATTTTATTACTTTTTAATACACCATAGTGTCATCCACCCATCCTGTTCTCTTGCCTTTCTCTATATATCTTTTTAGCTATAATTTGTAGCAACAACAACAACAAGAAAATTGCAAATACATGGAAGGGGCTAGTGGGCAGTTTTGGTGGAGACAAAGGAGCAGTGCCTCTGAATTATTATAAAGTTCCCTTACAAGGGGCAGACCTAGGAACTATCATCAGTATGTGCTGGAAACTGCTCAGAGAAGAAAATCCCACTTCAATCCTATGAAACTAAACTATGTAAACACCTGATAGATTCTGAAGATTCGCTAGGCACTCTGATGACCAGCCTGTTCCATATACATTTTGGTTTCACCAGCTTCTTTTCTGCATAAATCTCCTATCATTAGAATGTGTTCAAAATTTTTAACAATGAATCTTTAAATTTTTATAAAGGAAAGGAGAAAAAAAAAAAAAATCATGCTGAACTCAAAAGGGAAATAGGAAAAAAATTGCCGGAAAACTGATTAGCTGTCTCAGCAGAGTATAAGCAGGCGTGGTAGTTCTGAAACTGGATGAGAAAGCCATAAGAAAAGAACCGTCACCCTTAAGGAACATGCTGAGAAGAAAAAGGTAGTGTAAGGAATGATGAAATTTTAAATTGCAGCAACCAAATTAAATCCACAGAGCCCGCAGAAAAGATCTGACACGGAGAAATCATCTCAGGAAAATGGAAGCCACACATGATAAGCTCTTCTCAAGCTACACAAGGTGAAAGAAGTTTAAATGGTGAGATAGATGTTAGATATTCAGGGCACAAAGCTGGGAGCTACCAAATAATTTTAAGTGTTCTCGGGGAGGAACAATTAGTGCAAAAGCTTGAAAACAAAACACGGTGAAATCTTAAGCAGTTTTTTTCCCTTTTATACTCTAAAATCAGGATAGCCTCACACTTCTCTTCAGAAGCCCATGGAATAACATCGGCTGATTTTTGAAAGAAAAAGGCTGTGACCCCACTTTATTATATAGGGTCAGGTTATGATTTTTTTATGAATGAAGGCAATGAAAATGACATACTTAAATGTGCAAGAGCTCAAAAAGTGCCACCCACAAAACTTACTTGAAAATCTACTTGAGGCTATATGCCATCCAATTGAGAAAGTAACTTAAGAATTATATTTATAATAAATATAAATTAATGTGATACAAAATAAATTATATTATAATATAAGGTTTACATGATGTGAAATAACATAATAAATTAAATTAAGAATGTAAGAACAGAACATTGTCTTGCAAAAGGACTTTGAAGCATTTTTCTTGGTTGGGTGGAATCTCCAACCTGGGCAGAGCTTTACTCTGAAGTTCCTTTCTCAGCTTCTTTTAACCCTAGTCTGATTCAGGTCCCTAAAAGTGTTTTACCTGCCTCAACCTCCCTCCCACCCCCACACTTTCTCTCAAACCCATTTATATTTTACATTTTCATTTCATCTACTCTAATCCCAACCACCATTATTTCTGGCCTGTGATAGTACAACAGTCTACTAATGACATTTCTGCCAATGACCTAATTTCCTTAGAATCTGTGGCTCACATTACAGACTCACACAATCTGATTGAAAATGTTATACAATGCAGATTTCCAGTAGGAGCTTTCTGGAGACAGCCTTAATATTTAATATTTGAGAACTACACTAGAATTATGTGTTTGGAAGGGAAGAGAGGGAGGTTCTGCTTGCAAAGAACTCAGTATAAGACTTTGCTTCTGAAAAGTTTACTGACTTGCTCCGCAATCATGGTACATAAGGGAATTAACATTGAAAGGCAGACCAATTCTTCGCTGAGGCATACTTGAAGGTTGGGGGAACGGCAACTGGTTTATTCTGGAGTTGTTATAATGGAAGGAAAAGGAGAGGGACATGTTGAAAGCTCAGAGATCCTAAATACGTAGAGTGTGTGCGTGTGTGTGTATGTGTGTCTTTGCCTGCGTTTATAAGGCTTCAAGCTTTACAGTCCTTCAACTTGGGTTGCTTGCAGACAAGTTACATAGGTTTTACCAAACTACCACCTATAAAATTTTTATAGTTTGTTTTAGTGTTGCCACATATTTTGTTTATGTTGAGTATTTTCTTCAGCTTTTGTACCACTTCAAAGTTTTGCTGTGCTCAGTCTGCATTGAAATATGTCAGTTACTAAGTAAAATTATTGTACCTATAGAATTTATGCTCCATGAC